GGATAAAAGGGGACCAGTTGGAAGAACAGGACAAGGAGGAAGAGGAGCGGAGGAATACCAAGAGGGGGCTCCAGCACGGCGGGGGGGCGCCCGCTTCCATTCCCATCGAGCGCCTTGGCGCGCAGGATCAGCTGCCAAGCGCGTCCCGCTACTCGCAAGAATAACTGCTCGCAAATAGCCTGGACCGCCGCGGTGGATTTACGACGCAATCCATCGAGGCAAGCATGTGGCTTGTTGCAGACGTCTGCGGGTAGGCACTTTGAGAATAATGGAACGCGCTCGGTGAATCCAGGAGGTCCGGGGCTGGAGGCCCGATGGCTCACGGAGAACGGGGCCTTCACACCAGAAATGCCTGGAGAACCTCTCATACACCCCGGGCTGTCTGTCAGAGGGGGGGCCCTGAGATCCGCCGCTGCGAAACAAATGGCGACACCGCGACAAGATCACGACCCGAGCCCCCAACCAATTGCGCCACTCCTTTCGAGCCGGATCGATCTGTGAGGGTCCAGGGGCCCGAAACTGGGCGACAACGCTCGGTGTGAAACAGCATGCAGTCAGGGCTGGACCTAAACGTTGCTTTTCGTTTTGTTTTCGCTGTGTTGTTCGTTCTGTTCTACCTGTGTTCCTGTGCCTTCCTTGCCAAAGCGAAAAACAAAACACAGCCGAAGTCCAGCAAAACAGCGTTCAGGTCCAGCCCTGCATGCAGCCCAGATCTTTGGGGTTGAGAGCTGAAAAGACCTTCCCCCCCTATCGGCAGTCCTCGCTGGCCTCAACAGGCCCCCTGAGTAGACTGGGGCGCTCTCAACGCCCTAACCCTGGGGCGCGAACCGGCACAGGGGCGCCGCCGGAGGCGGCGCCAGGGTGCTGAGACCTCCGAGGGAAACTGGGGGGGCCTGTCGGGGCCAGTCAGGAGTACCGGGGGCAGGTGTCTGTTTGGTAGCGACATCCGAACCCGATTCCAACCAATCATCGCTTCTCCTGGATCGATGGGGGGCGGGGGTTAGGGTTCGGACTTCGCCAAGTGTTCGACGAATTCCAAACCCTACACCCGCCGCCCATCGAGTTGCCTGAATCGTTGATCGGCGAGGGCAGGGTTCGGAGTTCGCCCCGACGATCTGTGCGCAATCCGGCAGAGAGGAAACAGGCTGAGCCCTCGGCCGCGTAGACGATGCAGCCGAGCAGTATGACGAACGTGGCCAGCCCGAGGGACTCGGGGAGCTGCAGGCCCAGGAAGCCCTGCACGAGCGCGGGCAGCAAGAACCTGGCGAGCACCCAGGGGTCCGCACTACCGTGGCGGGTGCCACTGCTCATTCTCTCCTCGCGTTCCCCCGTTCTCTGAGCTCCTGGCGTCGCAAACGTTTCACAACGGGCGTTGTTGCACAACTTTTGGCCTCGGGATCCTCACATATCGATCCGGCTCAAAGTATGGCGCTGAAAAGGTGGGGTCTAGGGCTCTGGGTGTGAATTTCTACGATGCTGCATTTTGTTCGCATCGTCGAACCTCAGAGTTTCACACCTGTCATCATGATTCCTTCTTCTGTCCTCATCTTCCTTCATCACCCACTCATGTTCTCGGGCGCGATGGATGGAGCCGCACCTGGAGCAGGGAGAAGAAGCGATCGGAAACATATCAGAAAGGCGGCGCTGTGCAGCGGAGACGACAGGCAGACTCCACCTCATGTTCCTCATCCCCTGTTCCTTCTCGTCAGCATCCCTCCGCCGTCTCTTTCCGCCCCTTCTCTCCTCTCCCAAGACGGTCCGCGGCGACAGTGCTCAGCGGACGGGGCTTCTGATCGATACAGAACGGTGGCTGGGTGCCCGTGTCGGTGGCGTTCGCGACCGCTCCCGCCTCTTCACCCGCCTAGTGTGGGTATACGAATGAAAGAAAAGTTTTGGGTCATGTTGATATATGTACATATATATAAAGTATACATGTACACATCTTCGCCGGTCCCGTGGTTCCCATAATGGCGAGCCGAGGAGGTCGGCCCACGAAGGGCGGACAATTCGAGTTCCCCCTCGGGCCGCCTGGGGGTCCACGGGGGGGGGCGAGGGCTGACCACTTGGAGCGGCAGGGGTGACGATCCAAAGTCTTCCCCTGGCGACCCCAGGCCATCCCAAGGCTCTCCCAAGCGCCCCCGGCGGGGGGGCGTCGCGGGCTGACGACTCAACACGGTTATCGCCGTAGGCCGAGGGCCGACAGTCTTTCCCCCTGCCTCCGGACTTCTTCCGAAGGAACCAAGGGGAGCCGCGAAGGTGGCGGCGCGGAGGGAAAGACGATTTAGAAAACTGTTTCGGTAAAGGCACGCGGCGGCGGCGCAGTCGTCGTCGTAGTCGTAGTCGTCGTCGTCGTCGTTGTCGTCGTTGTCTTCGTCGTCCTCGCTGCGGTCGCCCACTGGACGACTGTAGCGCCGACGACGACGACGACGACGACGACGACGACGACGACGACGACGACGACGGGGGAGTGGGCGCCGCCGGCTCCTCCCTCCCTCTTCCTTCTCCTCCCCCCCCGCTGCCATCCTGCTTCCCCGCCCTCTAACCTCCCTCCGCTCTTATTTTCCTGCAGACATGGCGGTTGTTCGAATTTCAGAGGTCGACACCCGCGCGCGTCGCGCGCTGCACCTGCCTGGCTTACCTGGTAAAACCGCAGCTTACGAGGACAACCGATCGGTCACCGCTACAATGTCACCTTAATTTCCAAGACACCGTGACGACTTTGCGAATGTGGGCAATGCAGAACTCGCCACCCGCGCGCGCGCATCAAACTCTGCGCAACCGTGCTGACATGCGAAAACGCACATTACCTCCGAGATCCAATCGCTGACCCTAGAAGTGTTCATTCTGGCTTCCAAACCAACACGGGAACTTGCTTCCTGCGAACACTGTAGGCCTTTTCCACCAACACGCGTCGTGCGGTGCACAGCCCGGTTGATATGTGAAACCGCACGCCACCTTAGAAATCCAGTCGGTGTCCGCTGAGGGTTCACTTGAACCTCCAGGCGAGCATGGCGGAGTTCCTAGAAAGTGGGCGCTATACAATTCGGTACCCGCCCGCGCGCATCGCGCGTTACACCACATGATTAACACGTGAAACCGCGTGTCATGTTGGAAATAGTTTCCAAACCAGTATACGATTTTTTCCAATGTGGACACACTTGATCTCTCCACTCGCACACACGCGCTCGCGTCGTGTTGCGCAGCTTGGTTGACATGCGGCAACATATTGCTGTTAGGAAAACCAGTCGGTAACCGTTACGGGACCAATTTGCATCCCAGGCCATCGCAGCAACTTGTCGAATGCGACCACCATGGGCCTCCACACGCGCGCGAACAGCAGACCTCATGTTCACTTGGAAATCCAATCGGGCACCGCTGGATGATTATTTACCTTTGGGGCTGCCATTGCCATCTTTCCGTATAAGGCAACACAGGACTCCCATGCGCGCGTGGAAAGCTGTGTATTGCCATCGTAGGAACATTCACCCGAAACGGATGGCACCTAGGAGATCCAATCGGTTACCGCTAAGGATTGCCTTCAGTTGCCAGGCCTGCATGGCGACCCTTCTGTTGTGGAACATACATATATCCCCGCGCGCGCGCCGCGGCGGGCGCGCGTGGAGATAATCGCATTGTCCATGGTCAAGACCATGCATTCGTATCGACCCCATGCCAACTTGGAAATCGGCTCGGTCACCTCAAAAGTTTCGCTTCAGTTTCAAAGCCAATCTGGCGAACGTTAGGTTATTGGACAGCACAGAACTCCCCCCCGCGCGCGCGTCACTCTGGTATTCTCAGAGAGTAGAGGAACGGATTCATGTACAATTGCCATTTGGGAAATCCAATCGATATTCGCCAAGGTTTCAGCTTTAGCTTCCAGGCCAACATGGGTACTCTTTGTGACTTTGCCGTGCTCATGTTAGGACGCGGCGAGGCAGGAGGAGGGCACGGCAGGCCTTCCTTGCAATGCGGCCCTGCTCCTGCTAGATCGCGGCGAAGCAAGCGGAAAAGGAGCACGCGGCGCGGCGCGCTCTTCGTGCAATGCGGGATTACTCCCGGCAGGGCGCGACGAAGCAAACGGGGGCGGGGCGCCGCGCGCCCCCCCTGCAATGCTGTGCCCGCCGCGCCCCCTGCAGTGCTGGCGTGCTCCTGCTGGGACGTTGCGAGGCAAAGAGATGGACGCGCGGCACTGCGGGCCGACTCCTGTCAGGACAAGACGGAGCAAACATGGGGGGCGGGGGCGCGGTGCGCCCAAGCATGGGGGGGGGGGGGGGGGCGCGGTGCCCCCCGCTCGCAATGCAGCCCTGCTCCTGGTGGGGCGCCGCGGCGCGAAAGTGGTGGGCGCGGCGCTCCCACTTGAGGTGCGGGTCTGCTCCTGCCAGGACGCGGCGAAGCGAGCGGGGGGGCGCGGTGAGCCCCCTGCTGTGCGGGCCTCCTGCTGGGACGCGATGGTGTAAGCGGCCGGGGCGGGCGGGGGGTGGGCGGCGGCGGCGGCGGCACGCCCCCCTGTAATGCGGTTCTGCTCGTGCTAGGACGCGGCGAGGCAAAGGGGGGAGCATGTGATGGGGGAGGGGAAAGGCGCGGAACGTCCCGTGCAATGCGGCCCTATCTGCCAGGCAGCGGCGGAGCAAAGGAAGAGGGAGCGGCCTGTGACTGCAATGTTGGCCGATACCTGCGAGGACGCGACGAAGGAGGCGGGGGGGAGGGTGGGCACGGCGCTCCCCCCTGCAATGCGGCCCTGCTCCTGGCAGGACGCAGCGAAGCAAGCCCCGGGGGGTGGCGGCGCGGCGCGCCCCCATGCAATGCTGCCCTACTCCTGCTGGGGCGCGGCGATGTAAAGCGGGGTGCGGGAAGAAGGATCTGGCCCCAAAGTGCTGCAAAGCGACGGGGTCGAGGGCTCCGATTGTGATCTTTGCTGCGACGCCGTAGCTTCCTCGAGGCGTCGGACGATCGAGGATGACGGGTCTGCCTTCTTTTCCCCGCCCGCGGCGCTGCCGCGGTCAGTCCGCTGGCCTCGCGGCGGTCGGCCCGCCGGCCTTGCAGCTGTCCGCGCCCTCGAGCCCTGCGCCGCTCGATGCCCTCGCCTCCTCGAGCCGCGCGACCTCCTCGTCCACGACTATGTGGAACTCCTCGCCGAGCGGAGAACCCGCAGATCCGGGCAGGGCAATTTTTCCACACCAACTGTTTTTGCCAAATTTCGAGCCCTAGGACAATCACGAGTCGATCCGGCTCGAAAAAAAAACATTGGCTCCGGGGCTCTGGTCGTGATGTGTGTTGCGATTCGATGCGTTTGTGTTGCAATTATTCCGCCGGCCGCGGCCCCGGCGACACGCGATGCCTTGCAAGCGGCTAGCTTGTCGCTACGCTCCGCATGGCTGGCAGCTGGGGAAAGCTCGGGACATTGACGCTCTGGGACTGGTTAGCATGTCGCGCCGAAGCGCGGTGGGCCAGAACCGGCGAAGCGACACGCTACCCCAAAAATTGCTGACCGTGCGCCTTTTGTTATCTTGTGTCCCAGACAACAGGCACATGCGACAAAAAGTTTGGCTGTGAGACCTACTGGGGCGCATGATTCGTCGATCTTTGACTGTCCTTAGGTGCCCCCGAGCTTCTGTGGTTCCCCAGGGCCATCGGGGGAGAAAACATTTCATTGGGGCAGCTGCTCGCAGCCCGATGTCTTATTTGATATGCCGACTGTACAGTGCGGACGCGGCCGCGAGAAACCCAACAATGAAAACCCGCGCGTAAGATGCATCTGGAAGGAACACCCGGAGGACCATGCACGCAACAACTTCATTGCCGACCGCGGAAACCACCGCGCAGCGCGCGAGGGGACAAAACCCGTGGAACCATGGCGAAGAGCATCCAGTTTCTTGATGCGCGGCCCCACCGAAGTTTGGACGGCCCCCCAGGGGGCCTCCGCTGACAGCCCCGCGCAGATACCTGCGGTTGGCGCCAACCCCCTCTCACTGGCGCGCGGAGATCGCCAGGGACGGTGCCGGAAGCGCCGCCAGGGAGGCCCGTCGCCGATCCGAGAAATCCGCGCGGAGCTTCGAGAAATTGTGGTTGTGATGTTTCCCAACCCTCCTCAGGAGGCTTCAACAAATGAAGAATCGTAACCGCAGTGCTCTGTTCAAAACGAGGCCCCAACACAAGAGGAACTCCTGGATTGGGCTTTCGTTTTGGATAGACCGCTCTGGTCTCCACCTCCCCTCTCGCCTCCGGCCTCCTCCTACGCTGCTCCCTGAGTGGCTGCGCACTGAGTGACCGTCGTCGCTGTCTTGGGCTCCTGGGAGGCACGCTGGAGGCGAGGGCAGCGGGGATCCGTTTGAAACCTCGCGGATATCTCGGGGGCTACGAACTGCGCGACTGCTATCGCTTTCGTGGGTTCCTGGGAGGCACGGCGGAGGTGAGGTCAGCGCGAATGCAGGCGAGACCTCGCTGCTCCCTCGGGTGCTGCGGACTGCGCAACTGTCGCCTCTTTCGTGGGCTCCTGGGAGGCACGGCGGAGTGTAGGGCAAACCGGATCCAGTCGAGATCTCGCAGCTCTTTCGGAGAGCTGCGAACTCCGCAACTGTCGTCCCGTTTGTGGGCTCCTGGGTGGTACAGCGGGTTGGGTAGTTAAACCGACCGTTTTGCCACCTCGCTGCTCTGTGGGTGGACTGCGAACTGTGCAACAGTCGCCATGTTGCTGCTTACCGTCGCCGTTCCCTTGGCGATCTGATTTGCGCAGGTGTGCGGCGCGCGTGGCCCCACATTGTCTGGCGAAGCATTTCGCAGTGCTGCATATCTCGCAGCGCGTGTCTATTTCATAGAGTGCTTCATACTAGAAGTCACCTCGCGTGTAGACGGATTTGGGTACGTCTCGCGAAATCTTGTGCTTGTCGATAACTTCTGCATGCCGAGGGCTGCGGATATCGCGTGCTTCCGCGGCGTGAGACGTCGTCAGGAGGGCCACGAGTCGGGCCCTCCGGGGCCCCCCAGGGGACTCCTGCCACATCGGCGCGGACCTCGCGGGAGACCTCTAAAGACTTCAAGGGACGAACATCGGGGCTGGACAGAACCCACACCCTCGAAAGAAAACGACCCAGGATCGCAGGACAACGCCGGGCGAGCACAGGCCTGCAAAAATTGGCATCGCTCGCACGAGTGCATTGTGTGATTTCGTGCGTGCATATTATTATTCCTCCCAAGATGGTCCAAGACTTCTGTTGTTACCATTGTACCGAAACATGAACATCCATCTGGCCTTACATAGCGTCCGACCTTATTTAAGGGCTTCGTCGCTAAATTTAGCGACGAGGCCGTAAATTTAGCGGCGGATGTCGTTCAATGATTTAGCGACGAACGTTTTGTTAATGACGACGACGCGACGTCACTCTGTGAGGAGGCCCGCGCATCCTGTCACGATATTACAATGGGCGCGCCGAGGAGGCAACGCCTCCTGTTGTGTAGCATATGGCTGCATGGGGACGCGCGATTTCCTCGAGATCACCTCGCATGGGGAGCGCGTTGAAGTATGCCCCATCTAGGTGCGAATGACACGCGTACACAAGGACGCCCAGGCTCCTGCGATCGGCGAGGTAAGCGAGATGACAGCCCCGAGTGTTGTAGGCATCGGTAGCGGGTAAAAGATTTAAGGAGGCATTGCCTCCTCTGACGAGGGAAGAAGGTCGAACTGACGCTCCGCCGCCGCATTCTTTGGCAGCCTTCGAGGCCGCGGCAGCGCGCGCTCCCGCGTCGGCGCGGCGCCGATGGCGCAGCGATCGAAGGTGGATATCGCGCAGGAAGACCTGGATGCACTCGTCCGCAAGTGGCAGAGCGAGATCCAGGGGTTCCACTACACGGGCTCGTATGCAGACATCGTGCGCTTGAATGTGAACTCCCTGACGGCGGTCAACGCAAAAACGGCGAGGTTGTTTGCGAAGGACCTTCAGGCTGCGCTTAAAAAAGAGCTCGGAGAAACCGACGCCACGGCAGCGGGGTGGTCGAAGATGATGGCGGAAGCGTTGGCGTGGTGCAACAGGAAGGGCCGCAACAAGAACAGGGATGCGTTCTCACTAGAAGGCCTGGTGGCTGCTGCAGGGCTGCGCAGTAGACAAAGAAGAGTTGCCTCCTGGGCACAGCAGCTAGGAACGAGCAAAACATCAGGAGGCGATGCCTCCTATTGTCTTCGGAGAACTGGGAGGCGCAGCCTCTAAAAATCAGAATTGCTTACGCGCGTGAATGTTTAATTTCCGCGGCCTGCTGGCAGACAAAGCTAGAGGTGCAATCTTCATATCCCTTTCCACGTTCACAACCGTTCCGCGATGCTCGCGTTAATCGCGATCGCGAATTCCGTCCTCTTGACGGGCGTTCTCTGCAGCATGGCGCCGAAGGGCAATGCCAAGGGGAAGGCGAAGGGCAAGGCGGCACAGCGAAAAGCAGGGCGCTGCCACCAGCGCAGGCACCTGCCGCGGCGGAAACTGCCCGGGCGCCGCCGCCGAAAGCCGCGCAGCCAGAAAAAGAAAAGCCTTCGCTGCCGCCGCCTCGGAAGGCGCCTGGGAAGACGAAAGCTGAAACCGATGCTCCAGAGATGCCAGCAGCCAAGAAATCGGCACCGCCAGCGCCACCATTGCCGATCAAGCTGGACAACAAGCAGAATACGTACATCCGCAACCACTTCATGTACTGGAGTGGCAACAAGGCGGATACGGAGCACGGCAAACAGTGCTAAGCTGCTTTGAAAACGTTCGACGAGCTCTGCGGCGAGAGGCGTAAGGAATTCTTCGACCAGTGGATGGAAGAGAAAAGCAACGGCAAATATCCCAAAGCGCTGACAAGGATTAGCGAAAAACTTCGCGACGGTATCAGAAACTGAGCCAGACAACTCACAGAAGGGGCGCCAGAAATGGGTCACGGTGACGCAGCTCATGAAAGAGTTTGGCATGTCTTTGCAAGATCCAGCGTCACTGGAAGCGGGATACGACTGGGCTGAAAACAAGTGGAGGAAGAACGCGCTGAAAATATGGCACGATGGAAAGCCACCCGCCCGAAAAAGATGATGGCGAAGCGTTGGGCACTGAATATTTCTATATGTTTGACGACGGCACGGCGCGTGAGAAATCGAGCAGCAGCAAAGAGACCTGGAAAGCACAGAAAGACATGACCAGAGGTGCCAAAAATGCCTTGGAAGCCGCGCGGCTGGCTGCGGCGACCGTGGATACACCTGGCGCGAAGATCGAGGACCAGAGCTTTGCAGAGATGGCGGAGACGAAGGAAGAGCTCAGGCGCGGAGGGTCGATCTTGCCATCTGCATGTTACCGTGCCCATGATTTTTTGGTCTTCTCAACTAATTACACGCATGTTCTTATCCATGCATCTTCCCTTCCTTGCCCTCGTTGCCCCATCCGCGCCCATGGCCCTGAGGCAGAAGATGACAGCCCTCCACAAGCAGCACAAGGATATGAAGGAGCTGAAGAACACGTTCCAGGCGGAGGAGCAAGAGGACCAATGCCGATGGGAAGTAGGCTTCCGCCCTACAGGACATCAGCGCTCCGCAGAGGGCTCTCCAGAACTTCTTGGACGAAGCGGATCAGCTGCTGGCGGAGGCCGCGTGCATTCCCGAGGGCGAGGCGGACAGGACCGCCTGCTTGAAGATGACGCAGTTATTGAAGAGGGATCTCGAGGTAGCGCAGAAGCACCTCGACGGCGGCAATATCAGCCTCAAGCGCTGGAAAACCGTGAAGGGGTGAGACCGCGCCAGGGAGGCGGAGGGGGGGCGAAAGACGGAGGAGTGAGAGGAGAAGGTGGGAAGATAAAAAAGAAGGAGGAGGAGCAGGAGGAGGCGAGAGAGAGAGAGAGGGAAAGGGAGAGAAAGAGAGAGAGAGAGAGAAAGAGAGAGAGAGAGAGGAGGATGAACAAGGAGGACGAGGAGGACGAGGAGGACAAGGACAAGGACAATTACAAGGACTAAGAGGAGACGGAGGGGGCGGAGGCGGTGGATCAGAGGAGGAGGAGGAAGAGGAGGAGGGAGAAGAGAAGATGACGAGGAAGGAAGGAACACCTCGCAACAAGCGAGAGACGCCAGCAGACACGGAGACCTAGCCCGGCAAGAACAAAAACACGCACTCTGAAGCCGACCCGCGGCAGAAACAAAAAAAACAATTGCACGAGGGGGCGGCCTGCCTCCTGCGCCAACGCTTGCTGTAAGAATTTGACAAACAAAGAAGTGTTGTTTCAGGTGCAGACGAGGAGGCGGAGCCACCTTTTTTTCTGCATGCGCATAAGACGCGGGAGCGCGAAGACATATGCGCGTCTGATTCCGACGCTGCACGCCGCTATCCTGCGAAGCCGTTTGCGGCTCCAGGCGGCGACGGAATCGAAGCGAGACGCGCGCGCCGACATGTTGTCCAAGCGCCAGCCAGCTGTGGACACCAGCGGGCTGCCGCCTCCCAAGCGCCTCCGCGCGAACCTGCAGACGCCCACGCAAAGAGATGCCCTGTCTGCAGGAGAAATACAATCGTTGGCGAACGATGCGGTCGCAGGCGGCTCTGTGGGGCTGGGCGACATGCAAGGAGACCCGCGAGGACCGAACGTGTCCAGACGCTTGAAAAGAAAATTCCAGTCTTTCTTGCCGAAGGAATTCTTAGCTCAGATCCGCGTGTGGAGCCCGAAGCGCCATCGGGAGGGGTCCGCGGATGTGTCGCTCTTGCTGCCGCACGAGGTGCTGTTGTCGCTGGCTCGCCATGGCGACTTGGGCGTGCTGCTGCAGAAGACGGGGCTCGACGATAATGATCGCGCCCACATGGATCGCGTGGAAGCAACGCTCCGCAGCTCCACGGTTGCACTCGGCCTGTGGCAGGACGGAGTTCCCACGAAGTGGGATAGATCGGCGTCTGTCGAAGTTCCGAGCATTAACCTTCCTGGGATTGACCCGACAGGGCCACGCCGAAACCTGAGGATTCCGATGTTCAGCGTTCTGAAGTCCGTCGTGCCCACGAACACCTGGAACGACGTCTTCGAAATCATACTTTGGAGCCCCATGGCAATGTGGAGAGGGCCCTGCCAGCGCGAACGCCACGACACGACGCCGTTCCCCCATGCTTCGGACACAAGCCCATGCTTCGGACACAAGCAAAATCCGAACCTTCGATCGCAGGGCCCTCGCGGGATCACCTTTGCCAGTTCGCGGCGCTCTCGTGCAATTTCGTGCAGATTGGAAGGCGTGGATGGATCTGTTCGATTTCCCTGCTTGGAACACCTCGCCTGGGTGTTGCTGGAAATGCTACATGCGTCCAGAACAAGCGTTTGGGCTGAAAACAGAGAGAGAAGGAACGCGAGACCGAGAGAGATAGAGTGAGAGAGAAGTGAGGAACATGCTATGATCAGCAAGGGAGCAGAGGGCGAACGCATGTTTCCCGAACCCCCCTCTGCCGCTCCGCCCGCTCCCGCCCAGGTGGCGACGCAAACTTCGACGTCTTCTCCGTGGGCGGGGCCAGCGCACAGGCGATCGCTGCAAGACGTCATCGCTATCATTCTTCGCAACGGAGGTTCCGTTTCCCCTGCGCTGAGCTTGCCTGGCCTCACCATCGACGCGTTCAGGATTGATTGGTTACACGCAGTGGACATTGGTGTTGGAGCGGATTTTGCAGGCGCTCTGTTGTGGCACATCCTGAAGAAGCTGCCTGGCCGCGGCCGCAAGGAAAAGGGCGATGCGATGTGGGCGCTTATCCAGGCGCATTATGATGCCAACGGTACGCCCGATCGGTTGCATGATTTCAGCGAGCGCACTGTGAAAGCGAAGCAGGCGTACCCAAAGTTCCGCGGCCAGGCGGCTATTCTGAGGCACCTGATTCCTTTCTGCAAGGAAGCTGCTGAGGTCCACTGCGTTTCTGGGAGCGCCGTGGGCGACGCCACGCTGAACGCGATGCCTCATTTGCACACTTGCTACCACACCTTGAGCGGCAGCTGCATCTTCGGAAGCGACCTGCTGCGGGACTCCACCAGCAGGTTCATCACGCTTTTTGCTGCCCTCCAGCGGCTGCAGCCGAAGAACTGGCGCGAGAAGCCGAAGGCGCACCTGCTCCTCGAGATGGCTTTCGGCGGGGGCCAGCCGTCGCTGTGCTGGACTTACAGGGGCGAGGACTTCGGAGGCAGCGTGGGGCACGTGGCCAGGAGGCGCGGCTCCATGCTCACGGCGGCGGGTTTCTCCCACGCGGTTATTGCACGCACCCGCATGCAGCCCATGGTGCAGTTGGTGTGATACGCTGCCTACAGAAAACACTGCGGACGCGACGCGGCATGGGCAAGAATAGGAGGTGTCGCCTCCTGCTGCGATAAAGCGTAATGCCTGGACGCTACGACGATGTGATGACGACGAGTTTACCAACTACGAACTTCACATCCGAATTTAGCGACGAGGCCTTAAATTTAACGACGGACGATTTAAGGCAAACCTTAAATAAGGTCGGACGCTATTTAAGGCCAGATGGATGTTCATGGAATGGCCACATCCCAGAAATCATTCCGAGCACCCGGAAAAATACCGAAACAGTCTGCCCGACACGATGGCAAGGTGCCCAACCAGCATCGCCCCCGAAGGCCCGACAAGTGCAAACCCTCCGGTTTCGGTGCTGTCTTGGTGCTCGAGATTCTTTCTGGTGATCAAGGCCAGTGTAGGCTGGGACATCATAGCCCAGGACGCACTAAGGTGGTCCAGATCTCCTGGCGCCCGCCTCGCCGAGCAGAATGCGCACGCCAGGGCGACGCCGAGGAACAAAAAAATGCGGCCGCAACGCCCTCCCTCGGGACCGACGAGATAAGGCAATTCGCCAACCGACCTGCCTCGAGGGAGGGAGAGACAGAGGGAATGCTTACGGTCTAGCCTTTGGACTTTGGGGCCAGCATCCCAGGCGTTTGGGATCCTGATTATGTGATGGTCTCTGGGCCTCCTCGAACTTTCCAGAGGTTGACAAACCAGGCCCCAAAGGAGTGTTTCTCTCTTTATTTCTTTCTTTCTTCTTTCTCCCTCTCCCTTCGCGCGTTCTCTCCCCTCCTTTCCGATGCTTGGCCACTAATGCATTAACAGCAGAGACTCTACGTGCGCAATTCGTGCAATTGTTTCTCTCCGCGTCCGGTATCGGATCAAGATTCGTGCTCGTACGGGGCCTTACCTTACCTTGGGCTGGGGGCACCGCGCTTCGGGGCGAGACGCTATCCACGTCCCAGTCCCCAAACATCATCGTCCCGAGCCTTGCCGAGCTTCCGGCCACGTGGAGCGGAGCGACCTGCTATCCGCTTGCACGGCATAGCACGCCGCTGGGCCCGCCGCCGCAACACGCTAAGTTAGGAAGCAACGTTAGGAGGCAACTACTGGGAGGTTTTCGTCGGAAAGATTAAGGAGGATTAAGCCCCATTTGGGAGCTGTTACGCCGGAATGGGCCTCGCGTTTAGCGGGGTTAAGCCAGATTAAGCGGGATTGAGCGGGATTAAGTTCAGCCGGATCTCGGACCAGGGCAAAATCAGAATTTGACCTCCCGGGAGTTGCCTCCGAAGCTAAGCAACAGTTCCTGACCAGACCAACCTCTGGGAGCGGGGCGCGAGCACAGACGCTCCGCGCGTCCGAGGACGGCCTCTCCGCTGGCGCCCCAGAGGCCCATCCTCGCACCCCATGGGCAGCGGCCTCGACGGGACCGGGAGACCCCACGCCCCTCGCCGCGAGGCGGGGATCTATCCATCGCTGCCGCCTGGGGGATCAGTCTTCGGCACCTCGGCAGGCGGTGGACACACTGTGGATAGGCTTCCCCTCCTCCTCCAAGCCCAAAACGCTTTTGCTTATGCTGCAAGGCTGGGAAGTCTCAAGCGAAGCGAAGCGACTCCGTCCGGAAGCGACGCGACTCCGTCTGGAGGTCGGCCAGAAGCCACGGTGCCTGGACGTGGGTCTACCGAGAGGTGCGTCCCAGTACAGAGCGGTCGCGGCGCCTGGCGGGGAGCACCGCCGCATGGTGGCTGGCGGGGAGCACCGCCTGGCGGGGACTTGTTGCGGAGAGAGTCAGTGTACAGCGCACTCGTTTTGAACCCCCACTGTACACTGCATCTCCGCTCCGCCTCCGTCCCCATCGTCGGCGATGCTCGTCCGATGCTGCGCTGTAGGCAACTTGGCCAGATGAGCCTCTAGGAGGCGATCGTGTATGGATATAGTCAGGGGCTGCCTAGCCTCTGGAAAATCAACGAGTGAGGCCTGTTGCAGCCGAACGCTGCCTTGCAAGCCCCCAGGGCCCAAATATCCACATACAACGCCTGCTGAGTTGCCGAGGATCGATCCCCCAAGCGGTGGTCGCGGATAGATCCCGGCCTCGGGCTCCCCCATCGAAGTCGATGGAGGCCCAGGGCTGAAGGGATGCGGGAGAGAGCGGCCTCCGAGACTCTGCCGCAACGGCCGAAACTGTTTGTTGCTTCGTTTGCGCTTGCACCTTACCGCTTACCGTGCAGTCAAGCAGCTGCCACAAGGAACGCTAAATAAAGAACGAAGCCCCCTTTTTGGCACCAGAAGAGCCTCGGTGCACGAGGAGGGCTCGAGGAACAACGGAATGATCAAAGGAACAGCAAACCCCTTCCGATTCCGACTGCAACCTGTAAACCGAAATCCAACGGGCGGCAGCTTAGCTTGGTGATGCAACATGCTGCGTGACTTCCTGCCGCTTGCCGTAAGTCGAGGCTGCAAACATCACTGGTTGTGTGTGTGCGTGTGTGTGAGGGGGCGTGGCACGGCGCCGGCGGAGAAGCCATCCACCGTCGGCCGAAGTTCGATTCACGTTGATGGGCTTTTCAACCCTTCCTTCCTCGAAGATTCCGTGGCAGATCCGGATGATGCGCCACGTCCGTGCCAGAATAAGCAGCGCGGTCAACACGAACAGAGATATTTCGGCCTCCTCCCCTCGACGTTCATGGCCCCTGGCCCTGTAGCTCTCTATCGCCGCGTACACCACCGTGTCCATCAGCAGGGAGACGACGGTCACGGCGAGGTCGAGTTTGTGGTAGAAGTTCGAGGTAAACTCCTGGGGGTTGGACCACCATTTGAGGGAGAGCTCCACGACAAAGGCGCACAATATCGAGACACTCATTACGTGGCAGACGTGCGTCAAGTGCCTGGGACGACAAAAGATACCGATACTACAACTCCCCAAACCTTTCGCAAGGTGCGTTCTGACCAGCATTTTGAAGCGAATCTAGCCGTGGCGACGAGGGCGTCCGAGGAGGGTCAACAGGGTAAAAACCAAGGAATAATAGCGGTGTCGGTATCTGTTTCTCCTCTGAGTACCGGGCATTGTGGCCGTCCTTCGTGTCGCACACGAGGATCTGTTCGCCGGGATGCGGGCAGAGGCCGCCTTCGTCGGCCCCGTGGCCCGAGGCGTGCCCAGAAGAGCCAGAAGAATGCGGGACGTGGTAAGGGACGTGCTCGGAAGGGTGCGGCTGGCTGAGCTGCCAATCCTCCAGGGGTAGCCTACATAAGCCAGCGGCGACCGCGGTGATCCAGACAAGGAACACCTGTTTTTCGTCGTTTTCGGCCTCCAGGTGACCGTGCCCTCGCCGGGCCGCCGGGACCGTCAACGAAACGGCGCGGGAAGAGAAGCTGGCCCCGCGGAAGGTCGTGACTTCTGCGGGCCCCGCGCGGAAAAATCAGGGCGTCGGCTGCCTGGGGCAAAGACGCTCCGGCGGGGAGCCCAGGAGGCCCCAGGTAGGAGGCCCGGGGAAGCCGCAACAAAAGGAGAGGCCGAATCTCGCTGTCGATGCGTCGTGGGGCTGCCCTTGGGTCCTGGCCGGCCGCCAGCATCCCGGTCCGGAGCCCTGCCCGCCGCCCCACGCTCGGCGCCAGGCCACTTTGCACAGCGCCCTGCGGAGGCCACGTCTGCGCCATGGCCGCCCTCTCGACCAGAGCGGCCGCAGGAGGGCACACGGCCACCCTCCCTCCGACGCAAAACAGATGATCCTGCACGCCCGCCTCAATCAGCACCAACACCGCGTCCACCATCACGAAGAACACGATGAGAAACTCAACCGCTCGGCTCTCCAGAACCTCCGCGACCCACTGCTTCTGGGAGGACCTGGCCGATGTGGGAGATAGGCCGTTGAGGTCGTGCAACCGACGCTTCATTCCACTGGGTAAGGCAGGCCGCCTCAAATGCCGCAGACCTATGGGCTGTTATCATGACAACTTCAGAAGAAGCATGGCTGTTGAGGCGAAGCCGGCCCAGTTTAAGCCAAGACGGCTACACAGCACCGGCCCTCCTCTCACCTCCATTGCTGCGACGTGGGCTGCCCGGCTAGCCCAACGGGGGGTGTACAGGGGGAGGGGGGTCCGGGGTCCACTGTTTCCCCAGGTGACTATACGGCCTCGGGCGAGTTTTTCACTTAACGTCACGATTCACGCCCGCGCTGATTTGCAGCAGACACAACGTGAGCAGAGGTTGGACGACGTGATACCGTGACAGTGACCACTTCGCTTGGAATGCACACAGAAACCCGTACAAGACAGCTCCCAGCTGTTTGGTACAGAATGTGGAGCACAATTTGTTTGGAATGCGCACTGTAACAGTTGCACTGCCGGCAGCCCACTCGCGAGTAAAGCGGTCGTCCTGTTATACACTGTGGCGGTACTGACTTTGAGGGTCGGCAGCCACCACGTATGTCACGGTTGCACTCAATCGTGCGATTGTGGGGAAGTTACTATCCCGTTTCCTTCCGATCGGTTGGGCTCGCTTTGAGGGCGTATTCGACGATGTTTGCACATGAGGTGGGAGAGCTTTAGGCTGTCAGCGTGGCTTCTGGGGCCGTGGAAACGACAAGAAACCTGGGCTGAATTAGAATCACCTTGACACGACGACGACGGCGACGACAGAGGGCCCTATCTAGCGAAACTGACCCCAAGCCAGGCACGCTGTGATAATCTCAACCTCCCAGTCTTGGGCCAACCCAGGCAGCAAGGACGCTGTACGCAACACCAGGCAAAACTAGGCCGCACGAGGCGGAATTGAGGACCTCACACATCGAAACTGGCGGTACTGGCTCCATCCACCTCCTTGTTTCAATTCGAATGACGCGGGTGGGCCTCTCGAAGCGCACTTCCTTATTGGAATGTCATGGGGGGGTGTCCGAACTGGCGCGTCCACCAGTGCGCGACGGACCAGGCGCACCAACTTTAATTTGTAGGCTGTCTATTGTTTGGGCTGTCGTGTGACGTTCGGAGACCCCCGAGACTGAACAACCAACCACTGCCCAGAGTAAACGGACACTGGAGCCTGCCTCCAATACGACCAGCCTTTGGCGCAAGCATCTGGCGAGTTGTTCTTCTCGTGTCGCCAGCCCCCCAACGCTCCCGGGATGGGTGTTCATCCTGTGCCAGTTCTTCAAGGTCCCGCGGCCCCGAAACTGCCCCAAGCGCCAAACAAACGACGACAAACCACGACTGGCGCAGTTTGTCCAGCCGACACAGGTTTTGAGTCTTCGGGAAGTACGTATCGAGATAAAGTAAGCCATCGCAGGGACACTGTGCCATTCTTTCACGCATGCGGCAATCAAGCTACGTATCCTGGCGAAGGACCCAAACATATGCAGTTGCGAGTGCCGCAGTTGTAAGTCTTCGGTGGAGCTCCCTAGGGGTCCACTGTGGCCTTCGTTGGAGATCCGTCTGGGGCCACGAAACGTGCGAGGGGTGTGCCGAAATGGGTAGGGAACCGCATGTGGCCGCTCCCGCTGGGGCCTTAAGTGAGGCTCCCTTCGGGGCCACGGAGTGTGAGAAGTGTGGCGAAACGGGCGTGACGCCCAACATGCGAACGTCGCCTCTGGGGCACTCGGCGCAGCCCACTATGGGGTCACGCAGCGTGTGATGGGTGTGCCGAAATGGACGCGTGGAGTGCAGAGGCAGTGATGGGAGGAGGGAGGAGGGAGGAGGGCAGGAGGACGTGGGGCGCTGCCTCCTCAAACCAAAGGCCCAACACCACAGGATGGTTGGGAAATAGAAAGCCAACTGCTCTCCAGAGGCCCCCGAGAGCCTTCCGAAGAGACTCCAAGAAGCATCCCTGAGGACTCCAGCCCACGTCGTCGTCGTCGTCGTCGCCGCCGCCGTTGTCGTCGTCGTCGTCGCCGACGTCGTCCCTCTTCAGGGTCGTCGGCACTGGCCGTAAGGCCTTTGCAATAAGAAGCTAGCGGGTACGCCTGGGCGCGAGAATACACACTGCGGCCTGCGTTCTGCACGGCCAAACCCTGCATGGCGCTGCCTCTGGCCAGAGACCTTCATACGGTTATATCACTTCGCCTGCCTTCTCTCCCGCCTCCCCTCCCTGCCTCCCTGCGCTCCCCCTCCCCCCCCTATCCCCCGCCCGGTTGTTCCTCGTCCATCCCCGTCCCCTCCACACCCCTCCTCCTCCTCCTCCTCCTTCTCCTCCTCCTCCTGCTCCTCCTCCCTCCTCCTCCCACTCCTGCTCCTTCTCCTCTTACCCTCCCTGATCTTCCTCACCCTCCGCATCTGCCTCCGCCTCCGTCACCTCCTCATCCGACTCCTCCCGCCGCCCAGGGCGACGCACGCCCCCGCCTGGCCCTACAGCACGGCCCCGACACACCCAACGCACACCCCCTCGGGACCTCTTGCTGGAACCCCTGGCGAGCAGGGGCTCGTCAGGGAGCACAAGGCCAGGGTATACCGACGGGAGTGCTGGGAAAAGAGGGCAGGAGAGGAAAGGGCGCAGGCCTAGATTTCGGGCGGATCGATTTTTTTCAACCCTGGCGTTTCTCTTTGATGTCGGCCCGCTGGGGCCACGTGCGGGCCTCAAGGCCCTTTACACATGGACCCTTTGGGGCGTGGGCGAGACCTCTGGGGACCGCGGATCGACAAATCAATCCATCGGATGCTCGGGACGGGGGAGAGGAGGAGGGGCGGGTGGACAGGGGAGGAGAGGAGAAATATGGGGCGAGGAGATGCCGAAGGAGGCAGGAGAGAGAGAGAGAGAGGGGTGGGGCACGCTGAAGGGGTAAGGACTCCTGCGGGGTGGGCTTCGTGCACAAGAGGAGGGGGTGGACCAGCGACCGCTCTGAAGGCTGACGGGGGAAGTCCTCCCCCCTCTCCTCCATCACACCCTTCTCCCATCTCGCCCATCACCGTCTTCCCTCCCATCCACCTCCTCTTCCCCTCACCTCCTCTTCGCTTCGCATTCCCCCTCCTCTTCCCTCTGTCCTCCTCTCCCTTCCATCCCTCCCCCTTCTCTGCCTCCCTACTCCTCCCTCTCCTGACCCCCTCCTACGGCTGGTTCTTGTGGTGTCGACATGGACGCTGGTTTTCGAGACCGCCGCGGAGGTCTTTCAATGCTGAGCGGCTTCCGCTATCCGACGGCGGACACCGCCAAAGTTTGGCATGGCTCCGGCCGCAAATGGCCGTCAACCTAGAGCACCCAGGCCGACGTCGCCGCCGCGTCGGCGTGACGCGAACCTGTCGTACCCGTATCCCTTCCCCCTGCTCGTCCTCTTCTTCCGTTCTGCCCCTTGTCGAGAGCCTGAGACGCATTACGGTGGCAATGGCACGGCTCGATCGCCCGTGCGCACGCCATGGGGAGCAGCAGCAAGCAACAACTCAGAGGAGAGCCGACGACAACACAATCGTCGCTTTACTGCCTTCTGTTTCGCTGATCCAGAGAACAAGATGTCCATCACAGCTGCCTGCTGCAGGTTGAAGCGCACCAAGTAAGGAAGGTCTTGGTTTCCAGCTAGAAACTGAAAAGCGATGAGCAAGATGAGCGTGCCAAAAGGAATCGACGCCTTGACCATGGCGATCGGATAAAATATCTGAAAGAGGGGAACACGCCAGAGCCATCCCTGTAGGGCACAACATCGCGTATGGATGGTTATTCAAATCGCGCGACGGCCCTGACCCGTAACCGCCATCAGAAAGGTACCGTGAACAACGCTGGTTGCATCGGATTCTCGCATGTCTGATTCCAGGGGGTTCTCAGTGCCTGCATGCCCGTGCATATCCGTCATCAACGCTGGCAGGGATTCTGGTCTCTCTTTCTCTCTCTCTCTCTGTATCATTAATTTTCTTTTTTGTTTTTTTTTTTCTCTCTCTCTCTCTCTCCCACTACATATCGGATGAGCATCTGATTATATTACACTTACTAGCGTAGCTGATGCAAACAAGCCTGTGTACACATGGTGCGGGCACGCGTGGAACATAATTTTCCGAGGCGTCCTGACGGTCATGCGCTACGAAGGGCTCAGACACAGAGAACGCGCACGCAATTGGCAACAACGTCTTCTGATTGACACTACCAAGTACCGCCAGTGTGCTCTCATTGTCAGCGTGCATGGTTTTAATATCTAAATTCGTTGTCGGACCTCTCCACGTGCAATCTTACCACATACAAATCGACTGGAAACGATCTTCGCTATTGGCCTCTGGGTTCTTGGTCCTTGGTTCATCTCCTACGCTGGGGGAGGAGAGCGGCAGCCGCAAGGCGTCAGCAATGAGCCCCGGCACAAACTCTACGAGAGGACCTCCGTACTGGATACCGTCTGCTAACGGGAGGATGTCCGCGCTCTGTCCACGGTGGGACAAGCTCGGCGTGTAATCAATAGCTGGCCTGGTTGCCCAACCGCACATGGCATGTTCCCCCCTGCTCGCATGCGAGCGCGCGTGAACACGCTCCTCGCTCCTTCTCTTGCTCCTCACATTATCCTTCTCGTCGTCGTGGCCGGCCCGCTCACCTCTATCTTCTCCCTTCGACTCTCTCTCTCTCTCTCTTTCTGTCGTTCTCTCTCCTTCTACCTTTCTGCATATCTCTCTCTCTCTCGTTCTCCCTTCCCCCTCTCTCTCTCAATCTCTCTCCTGGTCCCCCTTTCTTCTCCCACGAACTTTGTGCTATTCTGCTCGTGTTCCCCCACACCATTCCAGTCCTCCTCCCTAGTCACTAATGGTCGTTCTACTCTTCACAATCAAGCGCGTTCGTCCGTCAAGTTCGTAATTGTTGTCTTGTGCGCTGTTGTAGGAATCGCCGTCATGATTGTCGCCACTATGGTTGCCACATCCTCGATGAGCCCTGACAGCGGTGCGATTGCGGTAAAAGAAGAGCAAGCGATGACGAAAATGCTTCCTTACACGGGTGGCGGTTCTGGGGGCCCTGGCGCAGGGTCCCTGCCTCGTCCACCGCCGAAGCCCACGCGCGACGGCCGAACGTTTGGGGCGAGAGGGCTGGGGGCGAAAACAAAGCAGAGGATGGTGATGAGGGGGCGGATGATGAGGACGAGTGGAAGTAAACAGGTGGGGGAGGGCGAGGAGGGGGGAATGGGGGGGATATGGGCGAGACCGCTAAATGCGGCGAGCGAGATGGGGTCTAGAGAATGACGGTCAGAATGACGTTGAGGATGATGAGGCGGGTGAGGAGGAGGACGCGCGTCGTCATCACTGTCGCTGCCGCCGCCGCCGTAGTCGCCTTGCCCTCCCCGCCTTCACGCCCGCGCGCAAGTGCAATGGCGTCTGACACACGAACGCGTTTGGTCAGGCCGCTTGGCTGGTTGGCGGCGCTGTGAACATGACCTGCCAGGTTGGCACATGGCAAAGTCTGGGAGCACATGACATCCAGCTGGAGCGAAATAGCACCCCATTGCGATGAATTAGAGCTTGGACCCCGAAGCGCACAAGCGCAACCACTCGAGTAAACGGACGCGCCTGGTACATGCCTCAACTAAGCTGAAGCAAAGCCAAACGCTGCGACAATGGCGCAGGTTCCAGGAACCCGAGTTCGAAATACGGTTCGACGCCCACGTACGCTGCACATGTAGCCAAACAATGCGCGCGCCGTGGGTTGCATAATCCTGGTGTTCGGTGCCATGTTGAAGTATGGGTGTTCACGGATGGTGATCGTGATGCTCGTATCAAAAGAACTCAACAACCTACCCGCACACTGCCCTAAACCTACCCGCGATCTACCCGCAACCTATCCGAAACCGACCCACGACCTGCCCGCAATCTACCCGCAACCTGTCCGCAAACAGCCCCTATATACCCACCATCATCCCGAGGTTGTCCCCGTCGCCGCCGCCTCCATCCACCGACGAAAATCCTGCGCGATGGCCGAAAGTATGGGGTTCGGAACAGAGGTTGGCCCGGGGGGGCGCGTGCGGGAAGCGCGAACATGAGGATGATGAGGAGGGGAGGCGAGATATGATTGGGGGCGGGACCGAAAGACGACAAGAAATACAGTGACCATCTGTAGAGGGAGAGGATATGAGCAAAAGCGCGCACTTGGGCGAACGCGATGAGCGCCAGGGCACACGGAGGGGGAGGAAGAGGTGCCGAGGATGAGGAAGGAGAGGGCACGCCGTCATCGCTGTCGCAGCCGCCGTCGTCGTCGCCGCTCTGCCCCCCACCTCGCCGTCACAACGATTGCGGCAAAACCGACGCCATCCACAACTTCGCGCCCGCGTGCGCGCGTGGGGGGATCTCGCGACGGAGCGCTGCTGAGGCTGATTGGCTGGTTGGCTCACTGGCCCCTGCAATTCACACTGAGCTGCTTGGATGGCTGGCTTGAACGATTGATTGGCTGGGTGGCTGGCGTGAGATAGCCACAGAAATCCACCCGAAACAAAGACCTGCCAACATAGCGCAACATGAACAAAGCGCACCTCTATACTGGAACGGCGTGCGGCACAGATCAGAAGAAAGGCCGGCGGCATGCGCATGAGATGGCTGGCGCTGGCGAGGACGCGGAGCAGGGGATGGATGGGGGCTGGGGCGTGGTATGGGTGGCAGGAGGGGTCGGGCATGATACTAATCAGCTCAAGCAGGCCGGCGGTCCCCGCCTGCGCTCGGGCCCAACATGTGAATCGAGATGCGCGCGATTTCACCGATCGCTCGGGCGCTGGCCCGCCTGAGACGACGCAGCCCGCGGAATCGCGCGCCGACCTTGCGCGGGCACCAACAACCGGGGGTAGATCAAGCGCTGCCGCGCGACAGGAAAGCAAAACAACCCTGCGGAAACGTCGTCGTGCGACACAACGGTAAGAAATCTCTCAGAACTGTTTGGCTTCTTGGAGCCTGGCGTTCGGGTCGAAGCCCGCCGCGCGCTCGGGCCAGGCCAGGGTGCGGAGGGCCTGCTTGGGCACCGTCGGCCCAGAAGGCTCGGCAGCCCTGGCGCGCACGTAGTTTATGATGTGCGCTACCGTCTTCGGCCACTGCACGCTGCGCGCGCGCCAGAGCCGTCGGCGCAGCCTCTCGCCCGCACGCGCGTACGACCTCACTGCGTTGAGGCGCGCACGGCTCGTGATCCCATCCAACGCTTGCTCAGGATCCATGCAGGACCGCGCCACCTCCAACGAGGGCGCCTCCATCCCGCCGAGCAGCTTGAGCAAGCGAGGCCTCCAGCGCGCCCGCTCTCGGGCCTCCAACTCGCCGCGGCTTTCCTTTGCAACGGCGCGGCACCTTCTCGCGCAGCGGGTCCCTGCTATCGCGCGGGCCCCCCAGCGGGGAAACGGCCTCACGCCGTTCCCGATCACACACGGCCGAACGGCTCACCACGGCATCCTGCAGCATGGCTTGCTCGGGGCGGCCGTGGATCGCACGTCGCCGTTTCTGCAACGTCGACGAAGTCCTGCATCGGGGGCCGTGCCCCCTCCACGCTGAAGTCCGCGGCCGCTGCCTCGTGCACGAGCGTTCCTCCAGCTCGGGCGCGCCCGCCTGCTGCGCCAGACGTGAGACTAGGACCCCGCACCCACGCAAGACCTTTCTGACCCACCGCCGCGCGGCGTCGAGGGCGCACGGCCCAAGAGCCAGCATCTGCGCCCAACCGCTGCTGGAATCGGCCGAACGTCAAGCACAAGGGAGGATACGATTACGTGTTGGTACACGGGGCTCGTCGCAATATGATTCCTCACCGTCGTCGTCGTCGTCATTCCCATCTCCCCAAACACGGTCTATCATCACGCCCACATTTCTCGTGCTTCCGCATTCCCATTACTCGGTGTCGACATGATGTTGGTTCCTCCTCCTCCTCCTCCTTCACCTTCTCCTCCACGCCCTTCCCCTGCTCATTCACCTCCTTCGTTCTCCGCTGCCCCGTGATCATCCTCATCCCTCCTTCTACTCCGCCTCCGCCACCGCAACCGTCTCTGCGTGCTCCTCCCCCACCCCCTTAATCTCCCTCTTCCCCTCACTCTTCCCTTGCCCCCTCATTATCCTTATTCTCCTCATCCTCCGTCCTCCCAACTCCCCCCTGCTCACTTCATCGTTTCTCCTTCCCGCCATCCCTGTATCGCTCTCATTTTTCTCCTTCCATCATCTGTACTGACTGTACTGCTCAACCTTCCTTTCTCCCCTCTCTCTGACCCCCTTCTCAATCCTCCCTGTTCCTCGTCCTCGTCCTCATTGCCATCAAAATCCAAATACCCGCACTCCTGACTAACCCGATTCGTAGCGTCGCGCTGCTGCCTACAAGCAACAACTTTCCTCCCACGCGCGGGCCGTCGACATTCCGAGACAAGGGTTTGAATTCTGGCCGAGTGTGAGGGTAGGGAGCAAGAAAACCTAATGTGACACGCTCCAAAAAACCCTGAACGCCAAGAACGCTGGCACCGCTTGAAGACGTTTTTTTTGTATTTCCGCCCGCTCCAGTCCGCATTCCGCTGACGGAGCCGCCCTCGTATTGCCCTCACCACCCACCCGTCCGCCGCCTTCGGCCGATAAGGAGACGCCACCCTTTCGATCTCTCGAGGCTCAGAGGAATAAGCAAACCACAAGACACAAACTTTCAGAGCTCCACGCGGATTTCAGAGCTCCACGCGCAAGGGGCGTCGCCAGAGGCGCCGTCAGAGGGGGGCCCAGCGCGGATCCCGAACATATGCTTGCTCCTGCCATCTGTTCTGCTTCGCCCTGCGCACGTGAACAGGGCACCGGCCGAGCCGCCAAGTCCTCCTCTCTCCCCCACCCCCCAACAGAATCGCCCCGCCCGACCTCAAAGATGCGGCCTCTGGCCCAAGGTTTCGAGGCAAACCCGGCCATGACGGCGAAGAGAAGCCCCCAACGAGGTGCAAAAGTGCACCGACCACGCCCCAAGCATGCGTCCGCGAACCTCGAACATCGATCCTCGACCGGCCTGACCTGCCGCCCTCAATCAGCGTGACGAAACGGGCCCTGAGAGAAAGGGCTCCTGGATCCTGGGGCCTTCCACCAGAACCATGTCTTCGTCCTGAAGCGTCCTGGTGCCTGTGGAGGGCACGTTCCCTCCTCGGCCCCTTGCTGCCGTTGCTCTCCCCAGTCGCCCACCTCGCGGGGACTATGCGTGCATGAAGGGCGTGCAGGCAGGTAGACAAATTCTCCCAGAAATTCGATGACTTGATTTTTGTTCATGCGAGATCCCCGGCAGTCCCGACCCTTTCCCCGGGACCGATTTTTCATCCTATAGTCGTTTTACAAAGGTCCTGGGGCCCGGCGAAAGCCCCCAGAGCCCGCAAACGGCAAAACCCGACCGTCCTGAATCTTTCACGACGTGAGCATGTCTGGGTCTGTGCTCCAGCCGAGCAGTCGTCAACGGCTAGAGGCCAGATGTTCCCACAGCCTGCGTCGGTGACAACCCCCCAGCGGCCTCCCCTCGGAGAACGAACGGTGACATAAACACAAAAAATCTGAGGTCCGCGCGGATTCATGGGATCGGCGCTGGACCCCACTCCAGGGCGCGCGGAGCGCGCCAGGGGCGGCGCCACAGGCGCCACCAGGAGGCCCCAGCGCCGATCCAATCGGCAGTGGACAAACCTCCCTTCAGTAAACCTCCCCTTCGTGAAAACGGCCTGGGACCGAAACCGACGGACCTGGACTCGCAAAAATGGCGGCCGCGACGCCCTCTCGCGAACCGAAAACGGCCAATTCCCTAATCGACGTGTCAGGGTAGGAGGTCTATCCACCTCCGAGTCATTGTTTTTTCCCTGATCCCCCGAGGCATCCGGCTCGCGTGCCTCCATGCCGGCGGGCCGCCCTCCGCTTCCCCGCGGAGTGAGCGGCGGAGTGCGCGGGAGCCGGCGCCAGCCTCGCCAGCTAGGCCAGGCACGCGAGCAGGCGGACGGCCGGACCTGGCTTCCGCCCTGCTTCCCCTTCGCTTGGACGCGCGCGCGCGTCCCGCCCGCGCAGAGCGGCGAGAGGAGGGAGGGTGGGATGCTGTGGACCATGCTAGAGGCTCATTCTGAGGACCTCTGTGGAGCCACTCTCCCCGCTCCCGCGCCGACGCTGGGTCGAACGTCCGTCGACTCGAGAACTTGAGTCGAAATTGGGTCGGACTGGAGTCGAACTGGAGTCGAACATATCAGTTAGGCGGCACCACGCACGGTCTCCAGAACGAGCATCTAAAGCGTGGGTCAGGATGCAGGGCGGTGGCGTCGGCAACTGTTTTGCCCGCTGTGATCAGAGGCTGGTCGCGGTCAAAGCTGCGGCGGGCTGTGCGGTAGCGAAGTGCGCCTGCACAAACTGAGGAGAAGAGGCCGCGGAGGGAGGAAGAGAGAGGGAGGCCCACTCGGACAGTGTACGTCTGCGGCGTTGGCTGCACGCAGGAGTGACCCTAGGCAAGCGTGGCCATTGGTGCGCGGCCTCAGGGGCCCACCGCAGGCACACAAGCCGCTGCTGTCGCATCACAGTTCAGCGACTGGGGGGCCCCAGTGGGCCCACACCAGAGATCTGTCCAGCAGGAGAGGGTACATCCAGGTATTTCGCCGTTTACGGACACCCAGAGCCCTCCCAATGCTCCCAGTGCAATCAAAAACGAGCTCGGGATGAAACTGGCCCTGGGGAGCGCCGCGCCACAAGGTCCAGGATCCATTTCCACCAGGATTCCCTCCCCTCATGCCAATCGAGGCGGACGGGAGACAGGAGGCTAAACAAAGTCAGGGGAAACAGGACACGGAAGATGAGCCAGAGGAAACGCCAGGGGATGAGGTTGGACAGAAGAGGGCGGTAGGAAGAGAGATGTCCACAAACAATGTGGAGGACGGAGGCAGAGGGAAGGAAAAAGAGGACGGAAAATGGCAGAGGGACCAGGCGAAGGGGAAGACGGAAGGGGGGGGAGAGAGGGGGAGTGAGAAGCATGGCGAGAAAAAAAGGCATGCAACCCTGGGAGGGCAGGGGGGCAAAGGGGAGGAAGGATGGAAGGAGGAAGTGCAGGAAGGGAGGGGGCGGCAGAATGGGGAAGGGAAGAGAGAGAGAGAGAGAGAACGAGAGAGAAGTCGTGCAGCAGATGAGACGCACTCTAATTAAAATGGTGCTTCATACGCAATGCTACATGCAACCGTTGTAACCGTCGTGGTTCAACATTTGTTTGGGGCTTACCTGTCCTGTGCCAACTGTGTTGCGCGATCTACCGGGAGCAAGAAATTATGCATGGCGTGAGGTAGCCAAATCTCAGGCCCGTCTTCAAATCCAATACTCGAGCAGCCATCCCACCCACCTTCCCACAGCAGCTTCGCCCCCCCCCGCTCTGATCTACGTAAGACGTCACCCCGCTGGACCCACCAGCCGCACTCGAAAGTCGCGACATAATCGCAGTTCGCAGCACCCCCCCAGCGACGGCGAGGTCGCGCTCTGATCTGCGGGAGACATCACTCCGCTGGACCCCCAGCAGCCTCCGAAAGTGGCGACAGTTTAGCAGTTCGCAGCCCCATCCCAGCGAAAGCGAAGTCCCACTCAGATCAGCGTAAGACGTCACCCCGCTGGACCCACCAGCCGCACTCGAAAGTCGCGACATAATCGCAGTTCGCAGCACCCCCCCAGCGACGGCGAGGTCGCGCTCTGATCTGCGGGAGACATCACTCCGCTGGACCCCCAGCAGCCTTCGAGAGTGGCGACAGTTTAGCAGTTCGCAGCCCTATCCCAGCGAAAGCGAAGTCCCACTCAGATCAGCGTAAGACGTCACTCCGCTGGACTGCCCAGCGGCACTCGAAAGTGGCGACAGGTTCGCAATTCGCAACCCCCTCCCCCTCCAGGGTGAAGACCCGCTCTGATCTGTGCAAGGCGACGCTCCGCTGGAGTGCCCAGCAGTTCCCAATCGTGGCGACTGTGTCGCAAATCGCAGCCCCACAGCGACGACGAGGTCCCGCTCTGATCTGCGCAAGACGTCACCCCGCTGGACCCACCAGCCGCACTCGAAAGTGGCGACATAATCGCAATTCGCAGACCCCAGCGACGGCGATGTCCCGCCCCGATCTGCGGAAGGCGCCGCCCCGCTAGACCCACCAGCAGTTCTCGAGAGTGGCGACAGTTTCGCAGTTCACAGCTCCCCAACGGTGGCAACGTAAGATGCAGGCCCGCAGGTCAAATCGCAGGCAGGTGCAAACCAGGTGCGAGACACGCGAGGAGAAGAGGGGGGAGATGAGGAGGAGAGAGGCGGGACGCAAGGAGGAGTGGAGACCGCAATGCCCCGGGTAAAGAACAGCACGCGGAGGGGGCCGAATGCCTTCCGCACGGAGTCAGGGGAGAGAGGATAATAGTATTCACAGCGTGCGACTGTGGAGAGAGGGGGGGGGAGGGAGGAGGTGGCTGGGGCGGAGGTGAGGCGGGGGAGGAGAGGAGGAGGGGCATGGAAAGGGACCGCCGTCGCCGCTCGGCGCGAGGGAAAGGAGGGGGAAAAGGAGGAGGGAGGGAAAGGGAAGGAGGGAGAGACGCCGTGGAAGGAGCGGGATGGGGGAATATGGGAGGGGGAGGGATGGAGGGGAGATGGAGGGCGGGGGAGGAGGTGAAGGGTTGGGGGACCGTCGTCGCCGCTCGGCGTGAAGAGGCTCTGCAGCTGCTCCTGCAGGCGGCCGGCCTCCGCGGCCCGCGCGGCCTCCTGGTGCGGGCTGCGGCGGAGGGCCGCCCGCGCCCTCCTCCGAAAGCCGTCCGTCCTCTCCCCTCCGGGTGGGAGGGGGACGGGGAATGTGATGAGGGAGGATGCAACTTGAGCTCCAGAAAATGAATAGGACGAGGAATAGAATGAGGGATATGACGAGGAATATGAGGGGGATGGGCGGATGCAATATGATGATGATGAGGAATATGACGAGGAATATGATGAGGGAGGATGCGGATGAGCCCAGCGTGTGAGTGAAGCTCGTCAGCAACTGGAGCTCCAGAAAATGGGGGGCGGGGGGGGGAGCGAGCCTCCCTCGATCTCAGCCTGTAGCAAAGCAGCGAAGGCCAGGATATCAGAAGCGGACGACGTTTAGGAATGCCACTGAAGGGATGAGGAGGAGGAGGAGGAGGAGGCGCATGAAGGATGATGCAATGAGCCGTCCCTCCAAGTTCCCTCGGCATAGGCCCCTGCAATAATAAATCATAGACCAATCGACACATACATATACACATATGTGTGTATGTGTATCTATACACATACACAAATGTGTGTGCATACGTACATGAAGGGGGAATGCCCAGTTGGAACCGTTTGAAAACCCGAAGTCCTGCCACAACACCATTCCTTAGCACATTCCTAGAACTACAACACCGCGAGCGAACGTGACTGTCGCGCCCCAACACATCAGAAGTCGTAACAAAACACTATTCCTGGGACTACAAGTTTGCGAAGCCTTGACACTGTTGTAAGCGTGTGCAAAACATGTGCGCGGCGCGAAAGCGAGAGCCACATACTGAAAAGGAGCAACCCTCCATCCTTGGAGCTGTTGCAAACGGTTAGGGCACATGTGCGAGGCGGGTAGCTTGTAGCTGCTGCAAGCGTTTAGCACGAGTGTGCGTGGCGCCACGGCGATGGCCACATTTTGAAAACCACATGCCCTCCATATTTGAAGCGGTAGCAAACTTTTAACACAGATGTGCGCGGCGCCGAAGCGAAAACCACACTTTGAAAACGGCCCGACCTCTGTCAATCTGTGATTTTCAAGCTTCAGGATCAGAAAGTGGTGAAGAAATCTCAGGCGAAACGCCCGGCCAACACGCCTGGGGATGCGACAGGAAGGAGTTCGCTGCAAGGAAACAGGATGGAGGAGGATTACCAAACTGGCCAAAACAAGAGTCTTATTAATGAACACGCTGAGCCACCCCCTCCCCTCCGCGAGCAGCACGGTCATGAAGAAAGGGACGCGTCCAAATGCGCAGACCTAGCCCACCGAAACTGACGGACCACACGGATACAGTCATGAGCCCAGCCATTGTAGACACATGTTCTCTGACCCCACCAGGAGCTAACAAGTACGAGGCCGTGCAGGTTGGCAAGACAAAAACATCCAAATCACAGAACCGAGCCACTCCACCTCCAACTTTTTGATCACCATACGTCGGGCATCCCCAGTCAATGAACACATGCATTTTGAACGGGTGTTGAAGCTACTACATGGACAATGCCACATGACCAACGAGGAGATAAACGCAAGTCCGTGTATGAACAGAACGTGTACCAGCCGACATTGAGGAGCATAGCTATACATGCCCATGCAATTGAAGCACAATCTGCGAACACTAAAAATTATGAACCGAAATTGCGCGGCTCAGGACACGGACGGCCGGCACGTCCACAACCACGAAGGGGAACAACAAACAGCATTGAAATAATCCTACCACTCTGTAGCAAGCCGCTGAACCCAAGGCGGTGTGCCACAAGGGCAAAGACCCCTAGCACGCCGACCGCAAACCAACACCAGTCATGCAATACGATCGACTGCACCCGTGGACGTGGTGAGCTGGCCGCCGAAGCCCACGTAGAAGATGCCCAGGTCCAGGGAAATCAAATGATTCAACCCATCGTAAGCGACCTTTGACCGACAGGGATGGAAGACGTATTCTGCTGGATGGTGCTGTTGTCTGGATACCTCGGGTGGCCTTTGTGCCCTTCTCGGGCCTCCTTAGGGGCATCCTGGCACGGCTTACCACTTACGCCACCGAGGTGCCTACTGTACACCCACAGCGAGAAGTGCAAGGCAAATCTTGGACACATGACCGGTGTATACGCCCGCCTGGCCTGGCAAGGAGGGTTCACTCCACCTTTGCTTGCAAAGAACAGTTGGGTCGACGCTGAGTCGATCTCAAATAACAACTTGCGAGGCCACATCGGGCGTCTGCTGCAGCACTGAAGCGCCTTGGCGCAGCGGCCGGCTGGCGTCGGCGGACCACCCCTGGGTAGCAGGAAAAAAAACGCTTTGCATATACACTGAAACGTGGAGCACAGTCCGCTCCAGTGCCCATGATACAGAGGCGGGAGCACGCAACGAACATGTCACGAAATTCGGCCCGCAAATCACGGTCTGGACGGCCACGCGGCGGGGGGTCAGAAGGAAAAAGGGCGGGGAGGGGGGGAGGACGAGGAGGAGGAAGGAGAAAGCACACCTGCATCATCTGGGCGAACTGGGGGTGAATACCCCCGGCAGTCGACGAGGCAAGCTGATCTGTGAAGCACGCGGAGAAGATGACTACACCAGCAACTGCACTTGCCAACTGGACGGGCTGACCGTAGCCTCGAGCAAAAAGCTCCCTTCCGCCACTGAGACCAACTGCACGAGAAAATACGGTAGACTCGATGCCCCCCAAAACCACGAGAAGGCGCGAGGCTTGGTTTGGAGCCAAACCAAAAGGGCTGCTCGACCCCAAGTGTTTTGAGCCAAGATTGCTACGGAGGACGGAGGCGGAGGAGGCGGAAGAGGATGTTAAACTCCATGACCAGCCTACTCTTACAGGCGGTACCAAGAACTACATAGATTTGCTGGACTTCCATGGTAGTGCGATCACACAGGGCTTCTACAATAACTACGACCCACCATCCCCAACAGGCACCCACAATAAGCGTACCTGGCAGACGATCCTGTACGGCCATGCCAAGCGTGCGCGAGGTGGTACCGATGAAGATGACCGCTTGGAACTACATCAACTGTGAGAACAGCCGGTACTACGTTACTGACAATATGCTACCTCATGCCTGGAACTTACGACGTCTTCAACGCTACGGACAAGGCACGCCGTGTACACGGTTACGCGCAAAGTACGCAGTATTCGGTACAGCCCGCTCCAACTACTGAGTGGCTGAGTGGCCCCGCCGCTTTCTTTTCCTTGTCCCCCATCCTCTGTGACCTTGGCGAATCTCCCCTTCCCCCCCCTTTTGGAGCTGGTCCCCTAGTGGCGTCCAGGGGGCCCCACTCACGCGCGGGGTCCAGCGCGCGCGCGTGGATGAAGTGCGGACAGTCGAGGCTGCTGCGAGAAAGAGGGGGAGGATGGGGGAGAAGGGAAGGAGAGGGACGAGAAGGGAGGAAGTGAAGGAGGGCGAAGCGGAGGGAACAGCAGGGAAGGACTGAGGGAGGGAAGGAGGGAGGCATGGAAAGACAGATGGAGGCAGGAAAGGGGGGAGAGCAAGAATTATTACCTCGCTCTCCTCTCCCTCCCTTCTCTCCCCTCCTCGTTCCCTCATCCTTCCGTGTTTCTCCCCGTCCCCCTCCTCCTGCTCCTCCTCCTCCTCCTCCTCCTCCTCCTCCTGTTCCTCCTCCTCCTCCTCCTCCTCCTCCTCCTCCTCCTCCTCCATCTATTCCTCCTCCTCCTCCTCCAGCTCATCGCCTCCCCCTTTTCCTGCCTCCACCTCCTAAATGTTTCTTCTGCCCACCCTTTTCCTCGCTCGTCGCCATGGCCCTCCTCCATCCCTGCCTCCTCGCTGATCGGCCAGCGCCCCCGCGGCCAACTGGAACACCACAGGGCCCCAGATGGGACAGCGCTGCAAGAGGATGCAGCAGTGGGGCCCTCGAGGAAGCGCCGCCCACCATTAGCAGGACCCTGGCCGCTGCAGCGGCTGCAACGGACTCAGTGCAGGCAGCATCGATACGCATTGTTCCAGAACTGACCACCTACCAAACTACCCCAAACCAACACGAGAACTCAAATTTCGGGTTGGGGGGGGGCACGGGTGCCACATGTTTTTCCCAATATTCACCGACGTCCCCCCCCCCCTAGGGATGGAGGGCAGATTGGGGCTTGCGGGTTGTGCTGGGGTGTGATTTGGTGGGTGGTGAAGAACGGTGCCTGCACTGTTGCCTCCTATCGGTTTTCCTGCTGTTGCCTACCCGGGAGGCCCCAGCACACGCCTCGGCCGCGAGGACGAGGAAATCCTGGACGCGCGCGAGGTGCTGGCCCCTTCCCCCGCCACAGCGGCCACCCTGCCGTGGGGCCGCCCAGCCTCGCGCAGGCAGGGGAGGGGCAGCCCTGCGGCGTCAACGGCCTCGAGCCCTCGCTCTGGAAGGCCCTGACCAGCAACGAGTCGTCGCTCCTCCTCGCCCTCCTCCTTCCCCTCCTCTTCCTCCTGCGGGCTGCGGGCTGCGGATCGGTTCGTCGGTGGAGATTGAGACCCTCGTCGTCCTGCTCCTCTTCCTCCAGTCCTGCCCAGGCGTGCGTCCTGGCGACTAGAGCTCCGCGGCCACGAGGGCGCCTTGGAGAGGCCTCGAAAGCTCCAACAGTGACTGAACACCCAGATTCTCAATCCCCTCTGGAGGATCACGTGGCACTCTAAGGGGTAGGTGCAGCCCCCTTCGGCAAAACACTTGCGCTCGCAAGGCCGACGCGAGCGCGACTGCAGAGCCCGCGGGCCGCGCCGGACACTGGGCGCACCAGAGCGGGTGGAAACGCCAAGCCTGGCCGCGGAGGAGGAGGAGGGAGAGGAGGAGGGGGCGGAGGAGGAGGAGGAGGAGGAGGAGGAGGAGGAGGAGGAGGAGGAGGAGGAGAAGGAGGAGGAGGGAGAGGAGGAGGAGGGAAGGAGGAGGAGGAGGAGGAGGAGGAGGAGGAGGAGGAGGAGGAGGGAGGGTAGTGCAGCCCCCTTTGGCAAAACATTTGCGCTCGCAACGCCGGCGGACGCGAGCGCGACTGCAGAGCCCGCGGGCCGCGCGGACACTGGGCGCACAGAGCGGGTGGAAACGCCAAGGCTGGCCCGAGGAAGAGGAGGAGGAGGAGGAGGAGGAGGAGGAGGGGAGGGGGAGGAGGAGGAGGAGGAGGAGGAGGAGGAGGAGGAGGAGGGAGGAGGAGGAGGAGGAGGAGGAGGGGGGTGGATGCAGCCCCCTTTGGCAAAACACCTGCGCTCGCGACGCCGACGCGAGCGCGACTGCAGAGCCCGCGGGCCGCGCCGGACACTGGGCGCACCAGAGCGGGTGGAAACGCCAAGGCTGGCCGGGGAGGAGGAGGAGGAGGAGGAGGGGAGGGAGGAGGAGGGGGATGGGAGGAGGAGGATGGAGGAGGAGAAGGAGGGGAGGAGGGAGGAGGAGAGGAGGAGGAGGAGGAAGGAGGAGGAGGAGGAGGAGGAGGAGGAGGAGGAGGAGGAGGATGGAGGTGACGAGGAGGAGGCGGAGGAGGAGGAGGAGGGTGGGTGCAGCCCCCTTTGGCAAAACACCTGCGCTCGCAACGCCGACGCGAGCGCGACGGCAGAGCCCGCGGGCCGCGCTGGACACTGGGCGCACCAGAGCGGGTGGAAACGCCAAGGCTGGCCGCGGAGGAGGAGGAGGAGGAGGAGGAGGAGGGGAGGGGAGGGGAGGGGGAGGAGGAGGAGGAGGAGGAGGATGGAGGAGGAGGAGGATGAGGAGGAGGAAATGGAAGGAGGAGGAGGAGGAGGAGGAGGAGGAGAGGAGGAGGAGGAGGAAGAGGAGGAGGAGGAGGAGGAGGAGACGGGGGAGGAAGGAGGAGGAGGAGGAGGAGGAGGAGGAGGAGGAGGATGGAGATGACGAGGAGGAGAAGGAGGAGGAGGAGGAGGAGGAGGAGCAGGAGGAGGAGGGTAGGTGCAGCCCCCTTTGGCACAACACCTGCGCTCGCAACGCCGACGCGAGCGCGACTGCAGAGCCCGCGGGCCGCGCCGGACACTGGGCGCACCAGAGCGGGTGGAAACGCCAAGGCTGGCCGCGGAGAAGGAGGAGGGGGAGGAGGAGGAGGGGAATGAGGAGGAGGAGGAGGAGGAGGAGGAGGAGGAGGAGGAGGAGGGGGAGGAGGAGGGGGAGGAGGAGGAGGGGGAGGAGGAGGAGGGGGAGATAGGCCCTCTGGCAAAAAACCTTTTAGCCAAATCGACCTATCGGACCCGGGGGCCGCACGCCCGCAGACATCACACGGCCGCGGCGTCCTTCTCCAGGACCGAGAAAAAGGGGCATGCGCTCACCGGCTTCACTCAGATCTGGTTGTTGCAAGCTGTTTTCCCACCTGGCGTGTTCGCCCGATTCTGGGCCCAAGACCCTCACAAATCGACCTGGCTCGAAAAATGACGCAGAAAGATTGGGTCCGGGTCTCTGGTCGTGACTTTTCTTGATGTTACAATTCTTTCGCTACGTCGGATCTCAGGGTTGGTAAGGTAGGGTATCGACCGGCCTCCGACGTCCAGAAGTTAGGAACAAGGAAAGGCGAGACCAACCCCACCAGGGTCGGAGATGCCAGGAGGCAAGGGGGGTCTCCCTGGTGGTGTGGTCCCCCCCTCTCGCTCGAGACATCCCCAGCCTCCAGCTCTGCCAGGCACCGTGAACCTCCTGGCTGGAGGTGGCCCCCTCTGGTGGTGTTGGTGTCGCTTCTCCTCCGTCCGAGAGGTCTCCGCGGATGTCCTCGATCCTCGATCCCCGATCCTCGTCTCCAGAGACCTCTGGAACTCTCCGCCGGAGTCCCCAAGGGGTCCCCGGGTGTCCCCGGCAGGCTTCTCGAGGCCAGAGGGAGCCCCGCGAGCCAGGCCCTCGCGAAAAAAACGCCCCAGCCCCGCAAGAAACCAGCGACGGAACTGGGAAACATCGGCGCCCGAACCGGCAACAGAAATCGGGCTGGGCGAAAGGGGGGGGATAGCAGAGGAGGGGGTGGAGAATCAGCTCGCGTAGCTGATTTTCCTGGCGCCCCCCGGCGCCTGAGGCGGCCATGTATCGAGGAATGGGCCCCTCTGTGGGGCCGAAACCAGCTGCATGCAGCAAATTTCGTACCCCCCCCTTTCCCTATCCCCACCGTTCAGTCCAGCCCGAAGAAAGCAGCCACAATGGAACCGTTGAACAGACGGCCCCGTCGTTTCCAGGGCCCACTAGTGAGCACGGGGGGAAGACCGAGCTCGAATCGGCGGCACGCCGCCGACAGGCCCCCGAAACCGAAACGGCGCGCTCCTGGGCGGGCTGGGCTCTCGGGCCTCCATCGGCGACCCATGGGCGAGCCGTGGTCGAGGCATCGCCCCCCCCCCCCGGGCCTGTCTCCCACCCCTGGCGTTCCCCCGCATCCGAATGGACTTCGGGTCCTGATAAGAAAACGAACTCTATATACACCGACGCTCTTCCCGACCCTGCGCTGACATTCGCACAAGGACGCGGATTCTGGTGTATGCGGGATCCTGGTGCATGCATTTTTCGTTGTTGTCATTGGAAAATGCGGGGAAGTATACACCACACCACCCCGTCGTCGTCCCTGACCCTTAAAAAGTCGTGGAATTGAAAAGCAGCCCGCCACTGGTAATGTATATCTTCCAGTTTCCGATCTAACTTCCCCGCCACTGGCACCCCTGGAAAGCTCTCGCCATGGCGCAGCTGACGGCCACCACCCCGAACCTCAATACATGTTGCACAAGTTCCTGATCCTGATCCTCGATTTGCCATCGCTCGGACGTCAATTTCTCGTGCAAGATGACCCAACATGCTCCTCGATGGTTCTTGCAGAAAAAACGCACGTCCGAGCACTGCCAAGTAGAGCCCCCTCCGCCGCTGGGGGATGCAGGCGGCCGTCTCCTCCCTCTCGGCCGCCTGGGCGCGCCGGTACTCCTCCGCCCGCGCCGTGGCGAGCCTCGGCTGCGCGGAGGGCGGGGGGCAACCGCCCCCAGGAGTAACGAGTGGTGTATATATATATATATATATATATATATATGTATATCTATATATATATATATATATATATAGATATATACAAGTGGCACGTGTGTGCCCAGGCTCATACAACAAGCTGAAGGGGCGTTTGAAGCAGGAGTGACATGCAACAGCGAAGTCGCACTCGAGCGCAAGTGGGGTTGCCACACCTTGCGATGTGTGTACCAGGGCCCCCCAGGAAGCCTCAGGAGGCCCGACTTGGATACCAGAAGAGGCTCCAGGAGGCCCCAGGATTGTGAGTGTGTGTGTGTGTGTGTGTGATGTGTGCTTTGTGTGGTGCGTGCTTTTTGTGTGTTGTCGGTGTGTGTGTGTGTATGTTATGTTTGTCTAGCGTGTGATGTGTTGGGCGTGATTTGTGTCTCTGTGTGTGCATGTAGTTCTGAAGCCCCAGGAGGCCCCAGGAGGCCCCAGGCGGCCTCAGCAGGCCCAGGAGAACTCCAGGAGGCTCCGAGGCGGGGTCTGGGGTACCAGAAGGTCCAGAAAGCCCCAGGAGGCCCCAGGAGGTTCCAGGAGGCCCCCAGGAGGCTCCGAGGAGGGGTCTGGGGCTCGATTTTGGGAGGATGTCTCAGGCGAAACCGCCATTCTCTGAGAATCGGGGTCAAAATTATTGAAATTACCATATGTTTTTGAAGGTTTTACGTTAAAATGTTGAAATTCCCATGTGTTGTTGGACCCTGACGTCACGATCTGCGTGAGGGGTGCCACCGATTTTCAGAATTTCGAGGATGTCCCGAGCGAAACGGCCAGAAAAATCGCGGACGACGTGCGCATTAATCGCCTCTGAGCTCTACTCCCTCGGAGAGGTGCGTATGAGAATATATATATATATATATATATATATATGTATGTATGTATGTATGTATGTATGTATGTATGTATGTATGTATGTATGTATGTATATATATGTATGTATGTATGTACATATATATACACATATTTGCAAAGCCCCCCCCCCGCGCCCACGAACTTCACATCGATCGTTGGGGCGCCCATTCGCGTTTTGTCTGATCACCTCTTCCTGCTGTCAGTCCCCTGCAGTTCTTGGCGTTCCTCGCTATTACTCCCCCCATCGCCCTCCCTGTGTTGACTCCTCTCTCTTCCTCGGCTTCTGGCTGATTCCTTCAATCCCCCCCTATCTTCCTCATTGATTCTTATGAAATCTGTTACCAAAGGAATCCCATTGAAATCGGCAACAAAGGAATCCGATTGAGATCGGATACAAAATGAATCCCACTGAAATCCTTACAAAATAATTCAAATGAACCCCTTATTGAAATCATCTGCAAAAGGAATCCTATTGAAATACTTGCAAAAGCATCCGATTGAAATCGACTACAGAAGTGAGATCGGCGACTTAAGGAATTCTATTGAAATTCTCCACACAAGAAATTCAAAGTAAAAAGGATGACGGTTGAAATCTGCTGCGAATGGGGATCCTATTGAAATCCTGACAAAAGGGATCCGAATGAGATACGCTACACAAGGAATCTGATTGAAATCGGCTATGAAAGAAATCCGAATTGAAGTCTCCACCAAAAGGCCTCCACAAAAGAACTCCTCTTGAAATCCGCTACAAAAAAATCATTTTGAAATTCCCAACAAAAAGGGGTCCCATCGAAATCGGCTACGAAAGGAGTCTTATTGAAACCCGATTCACAGGGAATCCCATTAATGGCCTTTTTGTTGTTATTTTTGTTGCTCTGACCTTCAGAAAGGCCCTGGGCGTGATCTTCGTCGGGTGACAAGAGAATCCCAGGCGCCCAACGCAATCCCTGTGAAAACGCAGAGTTCGCGACACCACAGATACGGAACCCCTGCGTTGTCATTCAGATGGTTTGGATTTCTGGTATATAAATCAAGGACACCCTGTGTTGTCATTCGGATGTTTGTGATTTTTTGAGTTTCGCCCTCCATACGAAATCAATCCAGGAGCCTCCGAAGCTTCAGAACCTTGGACATACAACAAACAACCGAATGAAAACGCATGGTTGGGCGACCCCTGACGTCGCAAACCCAATGGTTTCATTCGGATGTTCAGGATTTCGTGGGTCTCTCAGGCTCGGAAACTTCGGAAGCTCCTGGATTGTGTCTGGCGGGCGAAACTACAAAAACAATCAACATGAAAACACATAGTTTCCTTGATTCTCATATCAGAAACCATAAAACGCCACAATGAAAACACAAAGTTTGGCGGCCCCTGACGTCGCAAACCCTGTGATTCCAGAGGGATCGCTGCTATCTCACCCTCCATCTGAAGCTCCGGAGGCTCCTAGATTGTGCCTGGAATGTGGAATTTCAAGAAATACGAAAACATCCAAATGGACACACATGGTTTCCTGGACTTTCATTTCAGAAGCCCACCCCAAAGAAAATACAAGGTTTGGCGGCCCCTGACGTCGCAAACCCTGTGATTCCACGGGGATCGCTGCCCCCTCACCCTCCATCACTTCCCCCTCTCCTCCCCGAGTGCGCATGTTGGTGGGTAGGACCTTCAGGCCTAGTTCCTCCTTTGCGGAGGACGGCGTTCTTTCCCAGCTCAATGTCCTCTGGCAAATCGCGCGCCGCGCCACGCCACTTTCGGAGTTGAGAGAAACCGCCGATGCTTTAGGGGGAAGAGAGAAAGGAGAGGGAGAACGAGAGAAAGAAAGAGAGAGAGCCGAGGAAGAGGATGAGGAAGCGAAAGCTGGTAAATGGGTGCTGGGGGGGGCTGTCCACACACACACATATATGTATACGTATATATATATATATATAAATGTATGTGTGTGGGGGTAAAACATGTGTATGTATGTGTGTACGGATGGATGGAAAAAATGATGGATGGATGGATGGATGGATGCGTGTACGCATGTATGTTTGTCTGTTTGTATGCATGCATGTAGGTAGATATGTAGGTAAGTCTTTCCTCTGAGAATCGGGGTAAGATGACAAAGGAATTAAGGTCTCACGTTCACTCTGCTCAGTGGTAGAGGGTACGGGATGAGACATCGATAAGACAAATCACCGGTAAGCAAATGTACTCTAGGCATGGTAAGGGAGGAGGCCGGCCGGCCGACGCCCGCGCGCGGACGCACAGCGGCGCGCTCCTTTTTCACCTTCGAGCACAAACAGCTGCGGGATAGCACCGCAGTTACAGACATACAGTGCGCAGCGAGGCAAGCAATATGATATGCAGTATTAAGATGAGGCGGGGAGGAGCATATTTACTCCCCCCGCGGCGGGCCTCGTAGAGCCCATCCAGCCACAGCACCCCCGGCCTGCACATATACGCAACCACCGGGGCCAACCGCAAAATAATTTTACGGCTCAACGGTGGCTGCCAGGGGGCTGAGGGCCGAAGAGGCCCGACGACTCCCACCATTAGATAAATAAATTCTCTCCGCCGATGCGACTTTGTCGATCGGTAGAGCTGCTTTCTTCGTCCGATGCGACTTCGTCGACCGGCGAAAATTATTTCGCATGCGCCTGCGGCGACTAAGTCACGCGGGCCGGGCTCAGTCCAGATCCTCGAAAGGGTTGCCCCCCGTCGGTGGGGCCGGAGGCCTCGGATGTGATGACGCCGAGCCTCCTGTTTGTCCTTCGTCTCCACGAGGCGAGCGGGGCCTCCCTTTGCCACGGCCAGCGTAGCACGCTGATCTGTAGTGCTTGTCTTTGTTCTTGGACGCCTTCCCCTTCGGCGGGAAGCGAAAGGCATGTTCAGCCAGAGACAGGACATGCCACGTCTGCGACCACCAGACGTCGTAGGACAGCCACCAGATCCGATCCCGATGGACGTAGCATCCGCCCTGCACATCATTTATGCAGTGCGGGTAGGAGACGAACGGGTCGTAGCCAGCAGCGCCCCGACCGACGTCCATGGCACCATCGCGCGCGCTGGGGCCTCGACCAATCCCGTGTGTCTCAATGCCATGAGTATTCTTCTCCTGCCGAGGCGGCTGGGCCGCTGGCAGAATATGGGGATTCGGTAACTTCGTCGCCAGCCCGAGCGTCTTGGACGTCAGGTCTGCGCGGCGGGGGTGGCAATTGCGGTCTCGCTTTCACCGCGTCCTGTGGTCGTCTCGGCCCCGCCGAACCAGCTTGGCTGTCGGGGGGCTCACTGGCGCGCCCACCCTCACGAACATTCTGTTCTCGATCGCGAATGAACTTCAGCATATCCCTAGCAGCAGTAGCAACAGGAACGCCAAATTTACCGCATGCAGTACAGAACGGGCCTACATCTTTGTCTTGGAGCTCCGCGTTATCATCCACGTGCCTGCTTTGAAGCCAACAAATGGCCTCCTGTAACAATGAGCCCTGGCGACGTATGTCGGTTCGTATTTGCCTACCTAAATTACGGGCCCATTCTTCTATGCGGTCGCCCGTTTGAACCGCAGCGCGGATGCGACAGTCAAGGGCATATGCATCCCTTCGTCGCTTGTAATGATCATCATCTGAGCTCCCGCCCGCGGTAAGGATTGTTCTCCCCGGGTGATCTACGCAGTGTCCTTCTAAGATAAAAGGGGCTCATAATCTCGCGAACGATAGCAATCACTCTCATCATACGGAGACCAAGTTGCATTTCCGATACAGGGGCCATCCAGTTCCCTTCAACGATGTTCCTCACGATCTCTGGGGCTCCATGCTGCGTTTCCCCTGACAGTCGCAACCTATTGGGATCATTGTTATCTGAGCGCACACTTGTGTATTCAATGACATATTGAGCTGTTATCGCTCTAGCCTCAATCCCAGTCAAAGATATATATATATATATATATATATAGAACAGTCCTCACAGTGTTTATATGGATATCCGTTGGGATGATCAAGATTGATCGTCCCGCCAGTAATCCGCGTGGTCTTAGACCCGCTGATGGCAGTGAAGTCAAGCGTGACCTGCAGGTTTGCGTCTGCCGTCCCGGCTTGGCCAGAGGCAGGTTGCAT